AGGTGTTCTGGTTGGGGCAGGTGGGGACAAAGAGGAAAGCCAAAGGGATGCAACACACAGGTGACCTCTTGGATGGAATCTCAAGGGAGTGCGGTACCTGTAATTTTCCAAATGCTGAAACTAAATCAAGATACGAGTCAGAGTTGAGTGGGCAGAAGGGCTGTAGGTTCCCACACTTAGTGGCTCCATTAACCTAGAAGTCAATATTGCTGAGGATATAGGCAGGAGGTAGAACAAAAGCACTAACTACAAACCAGGTACTGGAATAATCAAGAAAATGTTCTAGATCCAAGTGAGTAATAGAGATGAGAACACAGAAACAGAAGTAGGAATGTCATTGAATTCACGAGTGGCTGGAAGATTCAGGAGGGACCTATAGAATGAGGAATAAGCCCACCAAAACTCCTCAAATCTAGCAAAGCATCCTAATTACATGGGGAGATTTTGACAATACAGGCCCATGTCAGAGACATGTGGAGTCCATTGGTATAGGAATATGCCATAGAATGCATACTTTAAAGAAGTATCCCTAATTGATTCTGATGTAGTAGCCAATGTCAGAAATCCCTGGACAACCCTCTGAATTACTTGGGGTGAGTGCAGGAGGAGACAAATCTTCTGGGGACTCATCATGGGAGCCCCTGAGAAAATAGAGGCTTTTCACACTGGGATTGTACATCTCCACAGTTTTGATAAATGGCACACAAAGCTGCAATATTTCATGATTTGTTTAATCCTGAAGGTCACGAACAAGTAATCTTTTCTGAATGACCAAATAGATTTTCTGCTGACCCAACCTCCAGTTACTGTTTGCTTAGAGTTAATCCACTTCAGAGAAGAATGCATCAAATTTCATTTTAATTTTAAGGTAATGTGGGTTCCTTATAGTAATTCTGTAAGAATTACTTCATCACCTTCTCTTATTCCCTTAGATAAGATGGAGTTTCATAAAACTGTAATGAAAAGTTAGCATGAGACAGAGAGGTAGGCCATGAGCAGCCATAGAGCCTGATTGTCTGGGTCTGCACCCAGCTCTGTGGCCCTGAACAAGTAATTTAACCTACCTCTTTCTCAGTTCCTTCACATATGAAAATCAAGATAATAGCAATGAGGGCCAATGAGTCAGTTCTGCTCATGGCAACCTCATGTGTTGCAGAGTAGAATGCATTCCATAGAGTTTTCATGGCTGTGATCTTTTGGAAGCTTATTGCCAAACCTTTCTTCCAAGGTGCCTCTGAGTGAGCTTGAACAGCCAAACTTTCAATTAGCGGTGAAGTACTTAACCATTTGTCCTACCCAAGGACTGTGTTCCGAAAGATACAAACATTGATAATCTCCTTTGCAACAACAAAAAATGTAGGTTCAGAAAATGTAGGCACCTTGTCCCAATTCATACATTTAATAAATCCTAGAGAAGAGATTGGAACCTGTGTCTGCCCTATGGTTTGTTTTTGCACTGAGCCAAGCTTCGGTAACCAGAATAATATCTAATGAATTCTGTGTAATGAAAGAGGTAATAAGAATTTACTATTAAAACCTTTGTTGCTGCTGTTGTTAGGTGCTGTTGAGTAGGCTCCGACTCTGTACAAGAGAACAAAACACTGTCCATGCATGCATCATCCTCACGATCTTTGCTCTACCTGAGCCCCTCATTGCAGCCATTGTGTCAGTCCATCTTGTTGAGGATCTTCCCTTTGTCACTGATTCTCCATTTTACCAAGCATGATATCCTTCTCCAGGGAATGGTCCCTTCTGACAACACGACAAAATTAGGTGAGACAAAATCTGGCCATTCTCGGTTCCAAAGGGCTTTCCGGCTACAATTCATCCAGGACAGATTTTTGTTCCTTCTGGCGGTCCATGATACTTTCAGTATTCTTCACCAAGACCATGACTCAAAAGCATCAACTCTTCTTTTGTCTTCCTTACTCATTGTCCAGCTTTCACATGTATATGAGGCAGCTTGGGTTAAGCACACCTTAGTCTTCACAGAGACATCCTTGCTCTTAAGCACTTTAAAGAGGTCTTTTGCAGCATGTTTGCCCAGTGTAATATGATGTCTGATTTCTTGACTGCTGCTTCCATTGGTGTTGATTGTGAAGCCAAGTAATATGAAATCTTTAACAACTTCAATTTTTCTTCATTTATCATGATGATGCTTATTGGTCCAGTTGTGAGAATTTTTGTTTTCTTTATGTTGAGGTGTAATCCATTCTGCAGACTGTAGTCTTTATTTTTCATCAATAAGTGCTTCAAGTCATCTTCATTTTCAGCAAGCGAGGTTGTGTTGTGTGCATATTGTAGGTTGTTTATGAGTCTTCCTCCAATCCTAATGTCACGTTCTTCTTCCAATAGTCTGGCTTCTCAGATTTTTTGCTCAGCATATAGATTGAATAAGTGTGGTGAAAGGATACAACCCTGACACACACCCTTCCTGATTTTAAACCACGTAGCATGCCCTTGTTCTGTTCGAATGACAGCCTCCTGGTCTATGTACGGGTTCCTCATGAACATAATTAAGTGTTCTGGAATTCCCATTCTTCTCAATGTTATCCATAGTTTGTTATGATCCACAATCAAATGCCTTTGCATATCAATAAAACACAAATAAACATCTTTCTAGCGTTCTTTGCTTTCAGCCAAGATCCATCTGACATCAGCAATGATATCCTTAATTCTGCATACTCCTCTGAGTCCAACTTGCATTTCTGAAAGTTCCCTATCAATATACTGCTGCAACCATTTTTGAATTACCTTCAGCAAAATTTTGCTTTCATATGATATTAATGATATTGTTCAATAATTTCCACATTCTGTTGTATCACCTTTCTTTGGGATTGGCACAAATATGAATCTCTTCCAGTCAGTTGATCAGGTAACTGTCTTCCAAATTTCTTGGCATAGATGAGTAAGTGCCTCTAGCACACCATCTGTTTGTTGAAACGTCTTACTGGGCATTTCAGCAATTCCCGGAGCCTTGTTTTTTGCCAACTTCAGTGCAGTTTTGACTTCTTCCTTCAATACCATTAGTGCTTGATCATATGCCACCTCCTGAAATAGATGAACATTGACCAATTCTTTTTTGTCCAGTGACTCTGTGTACTCTTTCCATTTTCTTTTGATGTTTCCTTCATCATTCAGTATTTTGCCTATAGAATCTTTCAATATTGCAACTCAAGGCTTGAATGTTTTCTTCAATTCATTCAGCTTGAAATATGCCGAGCATGTTCTTCCCTTTTGATTTTCTAACTCCAGGTCTTTGCACATTTCATTATAGTATTTAACTTTGTTTTCTGAAACTACTCTTTGAAATCTTCTGTTTAGCTCTATTATCTTGTCATTTCTTCCATTTGCTTCAGCTGCTCTCTGTTCAAGAGCAATTTTCAGTGTCTCTGCTGACATCCATTTTGGTCTTTCCTTCCTTTCCTGTCTTTTTAATGACCTTTTGTTTTCTTCATGGATGATGTTCTTGATGTCATCCCACATAGTCTGTTTTTTGGTCATTGGTGTTCAAGGCATCAAATCTGTGCTTCAAATGGTGTCTAAATTCAGGTGGGATATAATCAAAGTCATATTTTGGCTCTCATGGACTTGTTTGAGTTGTGTTCAGCTCCCTCTTGAATTTGCATATAAGCAGTTGATGGTCTGTTCCACAATCAGCTATTGGCCTTGTTTTGGCTGAGGATATTGAGTTTCTCCAATGCCTCTTTCCATAGATGTGGTGGATCTGATTCCTGTGTACTCCATCTGGTGAGGTTCACTAGTATAGCTGCCATTTATGTTGCTGAGGAAAGGTGTTTTCTGTGACTAAGTCATTGGTTTTGCAAAATTCTATCATGCAATCTCCAGTTTCATTTCTATCACCATGGCCTTATTTTCCAACTACTGGTGATCTTCTTCATTAACAACTTTCACATTCCAATCACTAGTAATAATCAATACATCTTGATTTTGTGGTCAATTTCAGATTGTGGAAGTTGGTAGAAATCTTTCCTCATTTTTGGCTTCAGTGGTTGGTGCATATATTTGCCTAATAGTAGTATCACCTGGTCTTCCTTGTAGGCATCTTGATACCATCCTATCCCTGATAGTATTGTACTTCAGGATAGATCTTGAAACATTCTTTGTGATGATGAATGCCACGCCATTCATCTTCAATTTATCATTCCTGGCATAGTAGATCATATGATTGTCTGGCTCAAAATAGCCAAAACCAGCCCATTTTAGTCCACTAATGCCTAGGATATTGATCTTTATGTGTTCCATTGCATTTTTAACAACTTCCAATTTTCCCAGATTCATACTTCATGCATTCTGCATTCTGGTTCTTAATGGACGTTTATAGATATTTATCCTTATTTTGAGTCATGCCCATCAGCAAATGGAGGTCCAAGCTTTACTCCTTTACAGCTTTAATAAGATGACTTATTCACATCATCTTTGTCTACTTTGAGGAGGCAGCTTTTCCCCAGTTGCATTTTGAGTGCCTTCCAGCCTGAGAGGCTCAACTTTTAGCATATATCAGACAGTTTTTCAGGGCTATTCATAAAGTTTTCCAGTGATACATCAGACAATGTTTCACTGCTATTCATAAGGTTTTCACTGGCCAATTCTTTCCAAAGTGGATGGCCCATTCCTTCTTCCAGGTCCGTCTTAGTCTGGAAGCTTTAGTGAAACCTGGCCACCATTGTTGACCCTACTGGTATTTGAAATACCAGTGGCATAGCCTACAGCCTCACAGCACCATGCAAGCCACCACAGTACAACAAACTGACAGATGAATGGTGGATTAAAACCTATAGACCTAGATAATGTGATGCTTTTAAATGATGTTCTCATTGACAATGTTAGATGTCTGGCAATTTCAGCTATTTTTAAATATCCGTTACACTCTTCCTAACCACAGATAATGTTGTTTGCAGGGGTGTGGGGGGTGGGGGGTGGGATAGTGCTTTGTCTGTAATAATGTGAAACAGCAATCTGGCATTTTCTTTCCTCAGCTTATTCAGAAATTGACAGATGTGGCAGAAGAGTGTCAGAACAATCAGTTAAAGAAGCTCAAAGAAATCTGTGAGAAGTAAGCCTTCATTTCTGTTATAGTTGGACCTGCAGATATAAATTTATTCATTACAAATTGCTATCTGATTGCTCTTTTTTTCCTTCTTACTTCCATTTTGACTTTAGAGAGAAGAAAGAATTAAAAAAGAAAATGGATAAAAAGAGGCAAGAGAAGATAACTGAAGCCAAATCTAAAGACAAAAGCCAGATGGAAGAGTAAGTTCAAAGAAAACCCTATGTCCTCCTTCTCCCTTTTATCCAGAGACTGTTTAATCTATATCAGAGTGAGAGATTCCTAATCATACACTGACCCTTCTAATTCTCTAGTTAACCTTTCAAAATATCCATTTTTAAAGTTTTTATCAGTGAACTATCAAAGGGAGTTCAAAAAAGATTGGAGCTCACCCAGAGCCTTTTAATAAAGACTAAATGAAGAAGTTCCCATTGGGAAAGGCTAAATCTTCGCTCCAGATATTGTCAGGCAATCTTCCTGCATGTAGTGAAAACAGGGCTTGCACCTGGGGAGGAACCTGACCTTTGTCCACAGCTGGCACTTGTATCTTACTTGCCACAGTAATAAGAATGTTGAGAGTTCTATAAACTTTCATCTGGAAGTCTCAGACTCCCCAGGCTTATAGGTGTCAAATGAGTTCCTTTCATGATCTCTTCCTCATTTGCTTTCAGGGAGAAGACAGAGATGATCCGATCATACATTCAGGAGGTGGTGCAGTACATCAAGAGAGTATGTTGGTTAATCATTCTCCTTTGCAGACTGAATGAATGTTTGATGAAGCCACTGTGCATTTCATAGGCCAACCTTACCTGTGTATCTTATCTCTAGCACCTGGCAAAGTTGCTTTCAGAGCATGCATTCCATAAATATTTCTGCTAATGTAGTTGCAAACCACTATATAAAAGGGTTCAATTAAATACAAATAGTCAAGGTAAAAACCAAAGCAAAAAAAAAAAAAAAAAAAAAAAAAAAAAAAAAAAAAAAAAAAAAAAAAAAAAAAAAAAAAAAAAAAAAAAACCCCAAAACACTGCCATCAAGTAGTTTCTGATTCATAGCAACTCCCATTGGGTTTGCAAGGCTATAAATCTTTATGGAAGTAGATTGCCCATCTTCCTTCCACAGAGTGGCTGCTGGGTTTGAACCACCACCCTGATTAGCAGCCAAATGGTTATCCACTACACCTTTAGCTGAGGTTACGAGGCCAGAAACACTCAAAATAGAAATTTTCCAAGAAGACTTTAGTTCTCACAATGATAGATCATGCCACCCTTGAAAGGAAATCCTTTTTATTTCTCTTTTAATTTGATATTATGATAATTTTCAAACATTTACAAAAATAAAAGAATAATGTAATCCACTGATCACTCCCCCCACGTACTCATCACCAAACGTCTATATTTGTTAGTAGCCGACTGTGTATGTGAGGACACTTCTGAACAAGGATTTGAAATAATTAAATGTACAGTTTAGATCTGAAAAACTTCCAATCTTCTGAAAACTCATACTTGAACATTTAGATGAAGATGACTCTTTTCCTTTTAACTTTTTTATAGTTAGAAGAGGCACAAAGTAAACGGCAAGAAAAACTTGTAGAGAAGCACAAGGAAATACGTCAGCAGATCCTGGAAGAAAAGCCCAAGGTAAATGGAACTGAATAATAACACACAATGATTTTGTTTTATTTCTGTTCAGTAAAAGTTTCCTGGTTCATGTAAGTACCTCTCACAGTCTCAGGTCGGTTCTCACATATCAAACTCATGCATCTTTCTCAATGATGTTAAAAATCTTTATTGCCATATTTCATAAGTGTTTAGCATCAACTGGTGAATTTTGAAAACTGGAAATGCACAGACCTGACCCACAGAGACTGATTATTAGTTGATCTAGTGTGGGACTCAGGCATAGGTATTTTTAAATGTTCTCTCAACTTCCTAAGTGTTTGCAGAGTAAGGGTGGAGATCAGAGAGAGACTAACCAAGCCTCTTCAGCTCCAAATTGATGTAAGAGAAGACTGTGTGCGGGAGAAGACACCCGGCTTTAACACTGCCCTGACTTTGAACCAAGAAAATAGTCTACTAATCCATAAAATAACAAATATCTTTTTTTCCCTATAACAATAGTTTAGTGGAACCCCACTTAAAATATGTCTTATGCTCATTGTTTGGTAACAAATCAATTGTTTCATGAACATTAACTTTAAATGAACTGAATATCACAAATCAGATATGTTCAAGTTAGCAATAGCATCTCAATTTTAGAATGTTCCATCCATTCAATTCATCACAGATTATTTTTCTGTTTCAGAAAAAGGTGCTTTTCAGTTTTCTTTCTATCTGAAGTTTAAACCATCTACTGTGAAAGATACTGCCATTCCATAAAATATTTTATTAAGCCCACAAAGGTTAGAAGGGTTAAGTTTATTTCATTGTATACTCTATTCAAGAATTTACTTTTTATAGACTTCTTGTAGCTAATTCTAAATGTATTTTCCTTGTTATTTCTGCTCTTCTGCTTTTATGTTTATTGTTAAGACAAGACATTTATTTAAAATTTTGGATTCCTTAGTTTTTAGGGTTGGCAATATAGATTCTCAAGCAATCATGAAAATCCAAGAATTAATAATGATTGAAATCTGCTACTCATTTTAATGTTTCTTATATACAATTTAAATATTGTTAGACACTCTCCAAGTTTGATTATACATTAGTAAAGTAGGATAAATTTTACATTATCTCAAAAAGTGCTATACTTTCCATTTAAGATTGAATGCTCTTTTTAAAATGCTTAATGTTTGGAGCAAAAGACCCAAGTTCTAAGAAATTTAAGTGACATTTTAAAATAATCAGGCCTGGGTAATATATTAAGGTACATGCATTTTCAATTTACACTACCTGAATACAAATTGGTCATTACTATTTACACTGACATAATATAATTTGCTTATGGTTAATAATATGCATTTCTTAGGGAAAAAAATCCCTCTTGAGAAATATTGTTTTCACATGAGACTTATTTTGCTGTATTTTGGTTTTTAGTCCGACAATGTCAACTATTTTACTCATAGGTAAAACACAAGTACAAATATGTTTAAATTAAGTAACACTTAATATAAATAACCTCTACATAGATTTTTATGATTAAATTAATTTTAGTAAGTATTGAAGCACTCTCAAATTTCTGCATTAGATATAACTAATATTGGAATCATCCTTCAATATTGCAACTCAAGGCTTGAAGTTTTTCTTTAGTTCTTTCGGTTTGAGAAATGGTGAGCATGTTCTCCCTTTTTTGTTTTCTAATTTCACATCTTTGCACATTTCATTGTAATACTTTGTCTTTTTAAGCTTCCCTTTGAAATTTTCTGTTCAGCTATTTTGCATCATCATTTCTTCCATTCACTTTAGCTACTCTACGTTTAAGAGCAAATTTCAGAGTCTTTTTCAGGTGACATTCATTTTGCTTTTTGATTCTTTTCCTGTCTTTTTAATGGCATTTTGCTTTCTTCATGTATGATGTCCATGATGTCATCTTACATTTTGTTTGCTCTTTACTCATTAGTGTTCAATGCATCAAATCTATTCTTGAGATGGTCTCTGAATTCAGGTGAGATATATTTAAGGTTGTACTTTGACTCTCATGAACTTGTTTTTATTTTCTTCAGCTTCAATTTGGACTTGCATATAAGCAATTGAGGGTCTGTTCCAGAGTCAGCCTTTGGCCTTTTTCTAACTGATGATATTGAGCTTCTCTAGCATCTTGTTCCACAGATGTAGCAAATTTAATTTTTGTGTATTCCATCTAGTGAAGTCCACATGTATAGTCAAAGTTTATGTTGTTGAAAAAGGTATTTCTAATGAGTAAGTCATTGGTTTTGCAAAATTCTATCATGAGATCTCTGGCATCATTTTTATTACCAACATCATATTTTCCAACTACTGATATTTCTTCTTTGTTTCAAACTTTTGCATTCTAATCACTAGTAATTATCAATGCATCTTGATTGCATGTTTGATCAATTTCAGACTGCAGAAATTGGTAAAAAATTTTCTGTATCTTCATCTTTGGTTTCAGCGGTTGATGTATAAATGTGAATAATAGTTATATTAACTGGTCTTTCTTGTAGGCATGTGGATATTATCCTATCACTGTACTTCAAGATAGATCTTGAAATGTTCCTTCTAACTATGAATGTGATGCCATTCCTCTTCAATTTATCATTCAGTTTTTAATTTTGTCTGATTCAAAATGTCCATTATTAGTCCATTTCAGCTCACCAATGTCTAGGATATTTTATATGCATTTCATTTCAGTTTTGATGACTTCCAATTTTCCTAGATTTTTATTTGTACATTCTACATTTTGATTATTATAATATTGAATGACCTAGGAAGCATGAAAAGAAGATGGAAGGAATACACAGAGTCATTGTACCAAAAAGAACTGGTCAACCATTTCAGGAAATGTGGTATATGATCAAGGACCAATGGTACTGAAAGAAGTCCAAGTTGCACTGAAGACACTGGCAAAAAACAGGGCTCCAGGGATTGATGCAATACAATACCAATTGAAATGTTACAATAAATGCATGCAGCACTGGAGGTGTTTACTTGTCTATGACCAGATATTTGGAAGACAGCTACCTGGCCAACCAATTGGAAGATATCTGTATTTGTGCCCATTCCAAAGAAAAGTGATCCAACAGAATGCAGACATTATCAGACAATATAATTAATATCACACACAAGTAAAATTTTGCTAAAGATAATTCAAGAATGATTTCAGCAGTCTATCAACAAGGAACTGGCAGAAATTCAAGCTGGACTCAGAAGAGGGCCTTGAACAAGGAATATTATTGCTGGTATCAGAGGGATCTTGCCTGAAAGCAAAGAATACCAGAAAGATGTTTACCTGTGTTTTATTGGTTATGCAAAGGAATTCATTTGTGTGGATCATAACAAATTATGGATAACATGGCAAAAATGGAAATTCTAGAACACTTAATTGTGTTCATGAGGAACCTGTACATAGACCAAGAGGCAATCCTTCAAACAGAACGAGGGTTCTATTTGGTTTAAAATCAGCAAAGGTGTGCATCAGAGTTGTATCATTTCATCATACTTAGGACTTATGCTGGTCAAACAATTTGAGGAGTTGAACTATATGAAAAAGAATGTGACATCAGGATTTGAAGAAGACTCATTAACAACCTGTGATATGCTGATGACAGAACCTTGTTTGCTGAAGTCAAAGAGGAGTTGAAGCACTTGTTGATGAAGATCAAGACTTCCATACAATCTTCAGTGTGGATTACATCTCAACATAAAGAAAACAAAAATCATCACAATTGGACCAGTAAGCAAAAGTATGATAACTGGAGAAAAAAATGATGTCAAGAATTTCATTTTACTTGGATCCACAATCAATTCCCATGCAAACAGCAATCAGTATTAGTTGGGTAAGTCTGGTGCAAAGGATCTCTTTAGAGTGTTAAAAAGCAAAGATATCACTTCTAGAACGAAGAAGCACCTAACTCAAGCCATGGTATTGTCAGTCACCTCATATGCATGTGAAAGCTGGACTAC